ACTAAGATTCTGGGCAGAGCACAACAGCCAGAGTTTTGGGTGTGGTTCCATTGAAAGAAGGATAGAATCTGACCCTTCTTACTGTGCCTCACTGCTTCAGGCATAGTTCTCTATGTATAAGGATGATATTATATATTGCATGATATTTCCCTGCCTAGAAACCTAGAATCATCATTCAGTGCCACTGTGCAAGCTTTTCTTCAGGAGAACAAGAAGATACATGTGAAAATCTTTCAGTGGTTACAGCTGTTGGCAGCATTGTTATTGGTAGGGAGCAGCAGAAGATTGAAGGGCTATAGAAGATAATATGTTTAGCATAGACCTAAAACTAATTGTTGTAGGGCAACTGCCTGCAGTGGTGCCTCCCCAAAGAACTCGTGATGTGTTCACAGTCTCCTCCATCATCCTCATGCACTGCAATGCAATTAGGAAAAAAATAATCGAGGAGTGGATGAATGAATCACAATTCAGAGCTCTAATTTATTAATGTTGCTGTATTTACTGTTACTGTGTCCTGTAGGGGTAACATCTGTACATGCTCAAAGAGCTGTACAGCAGCACCAACCAAAACTGTGGATCCAGGGTGGCAGCCAGGATGTGAACACACCATCCTGGAACAAGGATCTCATGGAATCACATCGCTGATTTATCTGTGTTGTGTGAAGTTAAAGAAAGTGATCTGCCATGCAGCCTTGTACTTTCTGTGACAGCTTCTCCCCTCTGAAATTTCCAGAGAGGGCCAAGTATGCAGTGGAGGGTGGTGTCTTGGGTGAAAGCCTTAGCTCAACCCAAAGCAGCCACTTGTAAGTCTCACCAGTGAAGTGCAGGCACGACAGACACTCCATCCTGAGCAAGAGGTGCTCCAGCCTGGGCTGCAGTGGAAGTGCAGCTGCTCTGTGAGCTGAGCAGGACCAGGTCAGGACTGCTCTGCAGGGTCACACAGCCCCACCTGCCACCACCACCAGGAGCAGGGTGCTGCTCATGGGGGAAGAGGGGGTCTGGAGCAGAGGCTGGTGGTGAGCGTGGCAGCACTGGGACAGACTACAGAGCGACATTCACTGCTCTCCTGAGACCTCAGTGCAGTCTGGGGGGTTCTCTAAACCCAGCTCTCAGCTCCAGAGTTGTGGTGAGGTCCTGCTCAGAACAATCTCTTGGGTACTAAACTCCACATGAGTCTTGAGGTAAATTACACTGAACACCATCAAAGCATTCAGCCTTCTGGTGTGAAGTTGTCCACATCACCTGCACTGGAGTCTGGGGCCAACCCAAAAGGCTTTTACCTTGAGGAAGAGCTCCAGGACATAATTGCAAATGCTGGTGGGGTAGTTAGAAAACTCAGATAGGCCAAAACTGCCAAGCTGGTGTGACTGCAAGATTTTACACACTATTTATCAGTGACACTCTCCCTCTTTTTCTGTACCCTGCCTTCTGGCCTATTTCTGTCTGGCTTTTTTTATCCGAGGCTCTTAGGGAATATGTAAAGCCTCTGAGTCTGCTGGTCCTTGGAGAAGTTCAGCTCATCCATCTAGAAGACACTTCTGTGCTCAAGGTGGTGAGAACGTGGAGTTAGCAGGCAGACTGATTCGGTTGATTTGAAAAGTTTGTCTATGAAAGGCCACATTTTTGAGTGTTTCCTGCAGATCTCTGAGACCTTTTGCAGCCAGCGTTTAATTTGTCACATACCAGGAAGAAAGGATCTGGGAGGTCTGTTATGAAGCAGAAAGAATCATTGTAGGCCAGTTAGCCACAGTCATGTCTCAGGAGCAGGGTTTGCAGGATTTTTTCTCAAAGGAAGATCTTGCTTTCGTAGCCCAGCCCATCCATGGTTGCAAGCAGAGCTCTTTAGGCTCCTGGTGTGATTTGGTCTGAGCTCATGGAAGGACCAAGCTGCAGCCCCCACCACCCACCAGTGGTGGCTCCCACCATCGTGTCCTGCACGAGCCAGCCCTTGCTTACAGGGGAGCTCTGCCACAGGGCACCTCCCGCTCTCTCTGTGCCCTTTGGGACACAGAGCTTCAGGTGGCTGCAGCTACTTGGTCCTGAGGGCTGATCCCAGGTGCTGTCACCTGTAGTTTGGACAGTCTAAGCTCAGCTGCTTCTGTGCTTGGGAGCGTGCGGGTGTCGCTGCACACGGGTGTGAACCTGACACACACAGTGCTCAGGAATACTTCATGTGTTGTGACATTTACTGTCTCCAGCTTGCCAGGCCTTAACTGTTGAGATGTGACTTCTGTAGAGGTGGAAATAATGAAGACCTCATTTGAGTGGGATGTTTTTATTCAACATTTTAGTTGTCACCTCAGCCATTTTTAAAAAAATGAAATGAAGGGAAAATTCTATTAATAAAGATTCCACAGCTCACTATCAAAAAGTTAAAGGTCTTCCTATTGTGAAACAAAGAACAGACATTTCATAGCTGAGATGTGGTAGCAGGGATACTACAGCAAAGCAGATATTGGAAAAAGCAGAATCATACAATCAAATAAGTTAGCATGTAAAGCTCTAAAACTTTGTTTATTCAGTCATAGTATTTTTTTACAGCTAACTTGCTGTGTCTTTTCTTGGCGAACTGGCTGTATCCCAGGTTGCAGGCTCGAAGAGTCAAGACCTGGCTGATTTAGTGGAGAACAACCAAACCTCTCCATGAATTTCCTGAATTGTTGTGTTTTATAATGGAAGACATCCTGTAAGGGAGGAACATCAGTGTGCATTAACGTGTAAAAGGATTTTTTCAGAAAAAGTTTTGTTTCCTCTGTGAAGAAGTATCTTCTCCTAACTGCTCTGTGTGTTGGTGTGGTTGTCTCTGTGTCAGGAGACATAAATGCATCACAGACAGCTAGGAGGTGCTTAAGTTAAGAGACCTTGTGGAGACTCCAGTCTGCCCTTCTCAGAAGTCACCCTTCATCCCTCTGCATCTAAGGCAGTGCGGAGGAGGGTGAGGCCAGAGGGAGGAATGAGCCTGAGGTGAAGAAGAAAACAAGCAAAACACAGAACGAGCTCAACAGCAAGGGGTAGATATTATATAAACCTGCTGAGGTCAGGGCTTTGGTTTTGATATGATATTTATCTTTGCAAATGAAGTTATCAGATTATCTTTTGCATGAATTAAGTTAAATGTTACAGGCTTAAACCCTTACATAAATCGGCACAGAGGTGCTCTGGGTTGCGCTGGGAGATCAGGCGGGAGCGGCGCCGTTCAGAGCTGGAGGCAGGCTGGCAAGAGGCAGAAAGGACACTTCAGCCTTTGTGGTTTTGGAGTAGGTTCAGCTTGACAGTGAAACTGCCAAAGTGTTGGTGTTTGGGGGCATTATTGTCATGGGAGTTAACAAGAGTTATGCACTCAACCCCCCAAAAAATCTGTAAATGTAAGTGCTACTTGGATGGGGAATTTTCCTTTCCCCTGATGTTTTTGGATGTGGATGTCTGTTAATACCTCTACTGTACATGGCTGAGCCTTGTAATGACTTTATCTGTCTGTGGAGGAACTTCTAAAGTTTATCTATAATGAGGTCTAGGAATTTAATTTTATACTAGCAATGTAGTCAACACTGTCATAAGCGTATCAGACTACGTGGTGAAAAAATTCTTTGTTTTTCCTGATACTTTTAGTAAAGAATTATTCTAGGTGAGGAGGTGGTCTTTGTGACCTACTAATTCCCTTTCAAATTTTTGCCTTTTTTCATGATGAATTTATACCCATTCGTTCTTGTGCCATCATAGTCCTTCAGTCCAGATAGTTCTTCTCCCTCCCTGGTGCTTACCCTGATGTAGTTGTAGGTGACAGTCCCTCCCATCACAACCTTCATTCCTACTCTGCAAAGAGGATCAGATTCTTGTTCACATAAACACTTTTGTAAAGCTGGAGTTATTTTATTTAAAAAAAAAAAAAGACAAAAAAAGAAAAAAAAAAAAAAGAAAAAAAAGACCAGACTGTTGAATTGTTGATTTTCAGAGACAAGGAGGAGGAGATCCCAGCTCAGGGAGGTTTCTGCTTTGGAAGAGTGGGTGGGTTTCCCTCCTGTTTGGTGCTGATGCTCTGAGCCTGGTGGCAAAGAGCTGCACTTCAGCATCCTCTGGAGCACTGGCATGGGGAGGAGGAACCTGGGGGTTGCTGAGATGTTGCTGATGACTGCCATGCAGTCATGTCCCTGGAGCAGCCTGACGGGTGAAGGAATGGGGCAGAGAGGAGCTTTTCTGAGAGGCAGGGAGCGGGACGCACAGTCCGTGTCTATACAGCACATATTGCTGGTCAGCTGGCTGGGGAAGGGCTGGGACCCTTTTGATTTATCTGTGCAGAACTCAGGACTCTCGAGAGCTGGACAGTTTGACTTGTCAGGATGGCAGCTGACTTGTTTGATGAGTAATGTTTGGCCGTGGGATAAAGCAAATCCAGGTTTAAGTTGGGAAAGGGAGGGAAGCAGACTGGTTTCACAGATGCTGATAGACTCTAATGGTTTTATTCAGTTTCAGTATCTCCCAAATTTGAATTTTTCAATAAAAGAGTCTCTCTCATTTTTTCCTTATGGAAATCCCTACATTCTTTCAATTACCACACCTCATGAATTAATTGGTAAGTAATCAGATTAAGCTAACATGGCTGCATCAGAAGCTGATTTTAAAAACCCAAGCAAAACAGCAGAAAACAAGTCCTCTGTAGAAATTGCCACAGTTGATTTTCATTAATGTAAAAATTCCAGTGAATTTTTCCTTTGCTTAAAGTGCTCTTATCTGTCCCAGCAGTTCCACTGATTCTGTACAAAAGAGTCTCACTGTAGACAGAGCAAATTACCATCATTAAATATTCATCTGCATATGAAAGTGTGGAAGGAGAGAGGCAGAGATTGGGGAATATATTGTACGTTGCAATAGTCTCTATTTTTTTTTGTCTTTTTAGCTTCAGGAATGGAGCTGTCTGTCTGAAGAGGACTCTGCCCAAATAATTGTCATCCTCAGGCGTAGACTCCTAAAGACTCTGCTGTTACAACTGCATCTTTCCCAGAATGGCTGAGAAGGCTCCACCAGGGATCAACAAAAAGTCTTCAAGGTCTGCCCTGTCACTGCCCCCGGAACCGGTGGAGATCATTAGGAGCAAAGCCTGCTCACGGAGGGTTAAAATAAATGTTGGTGGGCTCAACCATGAGGTGCTGTGGAGGACTTTGGACAGACTTCCAAGGACACGATTAGGAAAGCTCAGAGACTGCAATACCCATGAATCTCTGCTGGAAGTCTGTGACGACTATAATCTAAATGAAAATGAGTATTTTTTTGATCGGCACCCGGGGGCTTTCACTTCCATTCTGAATTTCTACAGGACAGGGAAACTGCATATGATGGAAGAAATGTGTGCTGTTTCTTTTGGCCAGGAGCTTGATTACTGGGGGATTGATGAGATATATTTAGAGTCTTGCTGCCAGGCAAGATACCATCAAAAGAAGGAGCAGATGAATGAGGAGCTGAGGAGAGAGGCGGAGACAATGCGGGAGAGAGAAGGGGAAGAGTTTGATAACACCTGCTGCCCAGAGAAGAGGAAGAAGCTCTGGGACTTGCTGGAGAAACCCAACTCATCCGTGGCAGCAAAGGTAGGATGAACAGTAGACTATACTTGGAGACAGTAGAAAATGGTTCCGTGACCCATGTGTCTGACATGCAGGCATCAACAACTCTCACTAAAATATTTGGTGAAAGGACGAATCTCAAAACCTATAGATCGTGAAGTGAATACACCCAAATCTGTCCTAAAATTCACTGAAATCAGCAGAAGGAATTTTGTTGACTTCAGTTGATTTTGGGCAACTGCTGCACTTTACTTTGGTTTTATATCATCAGAAACGTGGGTGTGATTGTTAATGGGCTTCATACTAAACGCTTGGGTGAAAATACTGCCAGAGAACACAACCTACCCACTTTCTGGTTAGAAGAGCATTTTAGTGTGGGAAACATCCGTTCCAGCATTGCCTCTTGCCCTGTTACAGGCATTGCACAGGCATGCTGTCAGTGTCTCAGAGGGTGTGCTGGACAGGTTATCAAAGAGCAGTGTCAGCAGCTGCTGTTTGCCATGGGTTTATATTGTGCAAGGACTGCAGGGTGTTTCTCTTATTTGTGATCAATAATTAGAGTGTTTTGTATGATAGTATTAAAGCATATATATAGATGTATAAATATTTGTATGGATAGATATATGTGTATATAAACAAGTACCTATTATATAAACACATATAAACACACATGCAGACATATGTAAAATGTCCATATATTCAGGCAGAGAGGAGGAAACATGCAGATGAATCCTCGTTCCAGTACTGCTGTCCTCACACAGGCGAGCTGGCAAGAACCTGCCTGACAGACTGGAAGAGTTTATCCGTGTTAGGGAAGTGGGACTGCATCCACAGGTGCTGGCACTGCTGTTTAAAGGAAATACCTTTTCCCCTCTTCATTGTTCTGTTAGTGATGTGAGGTGCTGTTTAATGTGAGGTAAATTGTGGAAGCTTGTCTCCAGTCTGAACCACTCACAGTGAAAACATTTGGTGTTCTGTGTTCAAGTTAAGCTCGACTGTGGGTTTGTTTTCTTCTGTTGTTGATTCGTTATCAGCTGTTAGACTAAGGTAAGTATCAAAGTATGGTGATGGAATGGACAAAACTTTGTAACTTAGGACTGTTGAGGTAGTCATAAAGTGAAAGCAATTCTTTAGTTTCAGTTTTTCATTGTGGGCTGCCTAACAGTTTAGGCAAGGACCTTTGTAAAATATGTATTTTTTGTGGCAGAATATGAGGCTCACATCTGGAATAAAAGCTTATAGGATTAAAAATAAGTTATTGGGGATATTTTTAGGAAACAGTATGAATACATTTTCTGCTTTTGAGACACATATTATGGGCCTGTGGTGCTTTCCAGGAGAAGGAGCAGAGGGGAGGCAGGTGGGCCAAAGGAGCTGTGCCTGGCAGGGCTCTGGAGGCCACGTCACACACCGTGGTGCCCTGGGACAGGCTGGCACCCGTCAGCTCCCCCAGCAGTCCCGTGGCACCACTGCTGCAGAGGCTGTCAGGCCCAGCCCCTCAGCCCTGCACGGCCTGCAGGTGACTGGTGTGCTCTGTGGGGCACCTCTCGAGCTCCTGCTGGGGCCCCGTGGCCGGGACACGCTGCGTGCGGGCTGGCAGAGCACCCACCTCCAGGTGCTGCCTGGGTTACCTCCCACCAGCACCAGGCCTGGCAGCCAGAGGAAACCTGAGTGCTTCTCTGTGCAGTCTCTGAGTTTTTATTTATTTATTTTGAACATAGAAAAGAAGGGAATTTCTTACAGAGCTTGAGACATCTGCTTAATTAGTGTCTTCCTAAGACTAGCTAGGAGTCAACCCGGTAAGATGGCCCAGGCGAATAGGGCAGCACTGCAGGTTCTCAGGGTCCCTGCCTGTGACTCCCATTCATTCTTTGGCTTGGTGTACAAATGCAGAAATGCAGATGGTTAAACTTGCACGAGTGCTTACTAGTGATCAGACTTTTCTCATGACTTAGCAGTGCCCCATGAGGGATTTGCCTGAACAGAGGCAGGACAGCTCTGAGGCTTTAAGAAAATCCCCCTCTGACCACTCAGGCCAGATTTCTCCTCAGGCTTGCAAATGAAAGTAGAAGTTTCTTTCATTTCCCAAGATGTCTAAATATTTATTTTTTTACCTTATATCCCTTTTCCCTCATCACCTGTTTCGATTGAATATTAGAGTTCTATGTTTTCTTGCTACAAGGAGTACCATATTGCATTTCTATACATGTTGCAATGGGCTTCATTATTTCAGTTGCCTTCTGACAAAATTAATGCTATTTGATGTGATTTTTGTGATTCTTTCAGTTGGAAGTCACTGTATTCCACACACTGGGGTTTGTCTTTCTGGAAACCCTCAGCCTGTGAATACACACGTGAGCCACAGTTCCAGTCAGGTACAGTGATGGCATCTCAGAGACGGCTGTAGAAACTTGGCTTAAAGGAGGGCAAACACTGTTGCAGCACATGCAGACTCGATACGAAAGACAAACAGGCAGAACTCCATGTGAAGGACAGTATGCTGGGATTAGTTGGGTGTACTTCCAAACAGTGTGGAGTTACCACAGGCTGTGTTAGGCTCAGTTGCAAGGTTTTACCTGAAGTTTTGGATAAAAACGCTTCCAGATCTTGTCTTTTTCTGTTATGTCATAAGCTGATCATTTGTCCTGAAGCAAGAGTCATCTTTCTCCGTAGAAATGGAAGGGGTGGTGAGATTTTGAGAGTGGAGAGTTGGGAACGAAGTGAGGAAATAGTACCATGAAGCCTCAAATTCAAATATTTGCTCCCTTTAGAAGTTGTAGAGACAGAGATGAACTCGTGTCCATGTGCTTAGCTGGCACGCAGGCCCCTCCTCCATCGTCCAGAGCCTGGGTAGCACCCAAGCAGGTAACACTTGCTCTTTGATCTCCCTCATGTAACCTGTCAGGAATGCTGCTGGTGGTTTTGGTTTGTGGCTGTCATACCACTGCCTGAGTCTGAGATCTCCTCCAGTTCTGATCCAAAGCTTACTGCAGTAAGGGGGGGTCCTGCTGTGGATTAGCGGGATCTCAGGACAAATCCTTCTCCTTTCCAGGTCAGCTGAGGTTTGCCACTGACTTCCTTAAAGCAAGGTGAGCTATGACAAGGTGACAGGGTATGAGCAGCAGGCAGTTTGCAGGATCTGTGACTGTCAGTTGCAGAGAGCAAGAGGGATGTGTGGCAAGAAGTGAAAACTATGGTTAGAAGCTTCGTTTAGCTGGTAAGAAGGGAACATTGAAGGTCAGGTGCTGTTGCACAGTACAGGCATGCTTTACTGTGTGAGTTTTGTTAATTTTAGCAAATGCAGGGATGCACCTCACCCCAGGCACTAATGAATAGACTCTAGACAAAGCAGTTGGTTTTTAGTCCTTACCTCAGAGCTCTCTGTGAATTCAGGAGAGGATTTAACTGAGGAATACAGGATTTGCCTCCATTTTCCCATGTTCTCATTCATAAGCTTTTTAAGTAGGATTAAGAGGAAGATGTTCAGAAGTTCAGCCATTTCAGATGTGCACACTGAATTGAAATGAGAAGCAGTGCTGGCATTGAGGAGGAACAGGAATTTTGTGCATTGTACATCCCAGGGAAGTCCCGACGGCTCGTCCCCAAGCCACAGAGTTCTGTGAGAGTCTGGCATTCTCTGATTCAGAGTAACATCTGAATCCCTAGACCAGGCATTTATTTACACTTATTGTGTAACCAGTATTCTGTGAAAATTCCATTTGAAAAAAGTTATTTTCCTAATGCATAGTGAAGCAAAACCAAAACGTATTTTGAAACTTTATGGCAAGGACACCTGAAGCAGAATAGACCTTCTCCAGTGGGTGGCCATGGTACATCTGTTCTTCCCCAGAGAAGTCTTGTCTGTCTCCTTGGAGTTTTTGGCTAGGAAGTAAAAAAACAGTTGTCATTTGACCTTCTAATTGCAGTTGCTGGACCTGTAACAGCCGTTTTGGAGCAGCAGGAGCTCTGACCAACCTGTCAGTAATGTGAAGGTCCTCCACAGATACCAGAATGAGCTTTGGACTCAGTGGATGTGAACCAACTGTGGCTGGGCTGCAGCAGTGTTTACAGTTCAGCACTTTGCTGAGCTGGGTATTAAGAACGAGCCTAGCTGAGCTGGTGCCTTTTTAACTGTGTCTATGTTATGTGCAGTGCACGTGAAATCAGAGGGGCCTTACTTTGGCAGAACAATCCAACAAACCCATAAATGGAATGTTCCTTTCCAAGTTAATGCATGAGCTCTTTTCATTCTTGTTCATGGAATCCAAGAGCCTGGTTCTTTTCTCACACTCATTTTATATTGATGAAACTTGGTTGGACTAAATCCTGAATAAATATGGGATTATTCTAGCGCAGATGATCTACTATAAAAATAGAGTGAATGAGGTCAGAAATAAGTGGAATATCTAGGAGAAGTGGAGAGCCTTTCCCTAGAGGTGTCTGACACTGATACTCAATCCTCTTCCATCTCCAGGAGCATTATAAATACCTTAGAGTAACATTATCAATAAATATCACTTGGATTTTCCATTTGTTGTTTTATACCTCAGGTTAGCCTTTTGGATTCAGCTGCAGTGTAATTGCTTGGGATTGCCTCTCCTGGGCTTTCTTCTGCAAGTCATTCTTTCTCCTGTGAATGTCTTCTTAAAGATCAGTGTGACTACTAACTGGTCAAGTATAAAAGATAGTATAAATAAGTTAAAAGTGATGTTAAAAATTACTGGTCACATTGTGTGGCTGATGTTTTGCACGACCCCTGTTGATGCACAGCACATGGAAGGGTAAAACGTTGGCCTTCGTGGCTCTGCAGGAACAGCCTTCAGCTGCTCTGAAGTTACCTGAAACCTGCTGGGGTTTAAAGTGTTCTCTCTTCTGTTTCATTGCGTGGCTCGTTGATCCTTATTTTGTCAACTTCTTTTTTCTAGGGATTTGTTTTCTGAGTTGTTGGGGTTTTTTTTCTCTGCATGACTGACTAACATGAGTATTCCTGGTCTGTGAAAAGTACCTTCATTTATCCTGAGTCT